GAATGAATAAATAATAAATAAATAAAACGTATAAATATGTAATGAAATTTTTGAAAGGTTCCAAGTTGAAGGGCAAACTCCAATGTGATTGTATTTATAAATAGGTCCTTTGAGGATGTAATTAAAGTTACATGACATCACAATGGCAGAGCTCTAATCCAGGAGGATTGGTGTCATTATAAGAAGTAGAAGCAACACCAGAGACAAACCGGCATAAGGGAAGAGTCCAGCAAGGATACAGTGGCCTGCAAACCAAAGGAAGTCAGCAGAAAGAAACAAGTTGGCACTTTGATCTTAGACTTCAAAACCTCAGGACTGTGAGAAAATAAAGTTCTGCTCAAGTTGTTCTGGCGGCCAGTACAGACTACTTTTAGTACTGGAAAATAAGATGCTACATTTGTAAAGAAGCCCAAGACTTCATATTTTTTTATGTGAAATCTGACTTTTAAATTGACATTCAATACAAATTCCTATAAAACATAGTAAGCCAAATTGACAGCAATGGCCAACAGAGGAAGAGAGTGCAAAGGCAGGGAAGAGAGTGTCTGGGTGGCTCAAGGCTAAATCAGCAGTGTCCTCATTTCCTCAGGGATGACCAGAGTTGCATTCCTGACTCTGTGATCCTCCACACTGTGTGGGTCCTTTAGCTTCCTCTCACTCAGCTTCATACCCCAATTCCTCTTATCTTTCTGCCCCTGACTTTATGTCTGTGGGTTTTTTTTCATTTTAACACACACACACACACACACACACACACACAAAGTCTCTAAAATATTTATTGCTTTAGGTCCAATCAGGTTGAGTATAAAAGCAAGGTAACAAGGATAATGGTTACTAAAAAAAATAAAATAAAAATAAAAAAATTAAAAATAAGAATAATGGTTACTAATATCAAAATTAAGGAGAAAATGTTTAAAAATTAAAATACCAAGCAGAAAAGTCTTTGAAGCATCTTTTATCGCATATAGATGCCCATGTTAGGATGGAAAAGAAGATAGAGAGAGAGTTGTAGGCACAATTTCTTTTGAGTATCTACCATGCGTCATAAATTTTGAAATGAAAAAAAAATCATAGTTAGGAACCTGAGATGGCTCAACAAGTAAAGGTGACAGTCAGGAGGCCTGACAGCCTGAGTTTCGTCTCAGGAACCCTTGTGGTAGATGGAGAGAATCGCCCCCCACAGGTTGCCCTCTGAGCTCCATACAAATATGCCCACATACATACACACAGACACACATGTAAAATAAATAAATGTAAAAAATTATAGCTAACACTTATTGAGTGCTTGTGTATCACTGTATAGGGTATTGTACCAAAAGTCAAAAAAACAAAAAACAAAAACAAAAAACGGAGGAGGGTGATATTCGTAAAAGGTAAATCATGACTCAAAGAAGGCTACAGAGAATTTTTTAAACTCTAGGGCCTTTGCAACTTTCTAGTTCTGGTTCTCGTTTTTTATCATCTTTGTAAATCTCTTGAAACAAGAAAGTCTGTGCTATTGGCATCAGGGTAGATAAATGGAAACTGAGGGATACTGTGCTGACTTTTTTTTTTTAACCTGGTTTCATCTTCATACTGGAATAAGGAAGATGCCAAGGCAGAAAATCCTCAAGAGCAAATAAATGGAGGCAGGAAAAGAAAGGGAGTCAGGTGAAGGAGCAGAAGCCAAGGGAGTCAGGTGAAGGAACAGAAGCCAAGGACCACATGATACTGCAGGGTAGAAAGGCATGTTTGTCTTCAGTTTGGATTAAAATTAAAATGAAATATTTTAGGAGTTTCAGAAAGAGCTGTACACATTTGTTTTTAATATGCAAGTGAGCTAAACAGGGAACTTTTATTCACTACTACATTTCTACTTATTCCTAAGGTCTGTTCTGTCTCCCACAAAACTTCTTTAAGGTGAAGGTTGATTCTTTGTGGACTTCCACCCTAGAAAATAAAGCCCCTATGCCCCAACTCTATTTATTTCACTTATACTTGAGTGACAGAAACCTTCTTCTGCAATGATGGCAGTGGCCATGTATTTTAGGGTGTGCAGAGTGACAAATTATTCCTTGTTTGCCTCTCTGAGGGAAACTGAGACTCCTGAACTTTGTAACTTCAGCAACACCAAGTGGTGAGAGGTATTTTGGGGGACCTGGTGCATTTAGTGTATAAATAATTGAATGAATGGATACTTCTTGACTTCTGTCACATTGGCATGTAGCTTCTGGACTAGGAACTCAAAGGGCGCTAGAGACAAACATACAGTGGTGTTGTTACTGATGAAGTGGTGGGGTGATCTACCTAGCTTTTACTTTTTCCTTTCTGTTGCCCTACTTTCTCCTATCTTTCCATCTCAGACTCTCTGCATGGGAGAAATGTGAGTAAGGGTGGGCCCAATCCCCAGCCTGGAAATGGTGAAGCCGTAGTGATGAAAAGAATGAAAGAAGGTCATAGTAGGAGGTGGCCATACCAGACCCCAGACCTACTGGGAAAGGGAGGGGCCATTAATCGCACTCAGATGTGGCTCAGGTGACCTGCTGAGGTGTTCATAAGAATGACAAGACAATGACTTAACAGTCCAAAAAGTAGTCCTAAGGATTGTTTACTCCTGCATCAGAAGTAAATGAATGCAAAAAAATTCATCTTGAGGTTAATTTGATTATTTCACAATAACAGGAAATTACTTAGAGAATTATCTTTTCCATTGAAAATAGAAATCTATGTTATAAAAAAACACAGGACTTTTATGTTATATATAGTTTATAACATATTTTTGAGTATGCTATTCATAAAAAACTTGGAAAGAAGATAAAGATTGGGATTATATGTAATTACACAAATGTCTATATCTATAAATGTAAGTATAGACCCAAATATCTATCCTTCTATGCTATTTGCAATGGATAAATATGCTTCTCATTGGAAATATGATTCAAAGTCCAAAGGGCATCACTTGTGAACAGAAAAGGCTGTCTCAACAAAATTCATGTACTTTTATTCCAAAAACTGTTGATTTTTGAGAGAGCAGAATATCCATTTCAAGCTCTGGTGAGTGTCTGTAAAAGCCAGAGGCTAATTTTTACTAGACTGGATTAAAGGGGTCAGAGACTTGGCCAGGCACTCAGTAGCTACTGGTTGAAGGGATTGTGTCCTCTAAGAGTTGAGGTGATAATTTTGAAAAAAATCAAAATAGGAGTATACATCTCGATAACTTATGGAAAATTTTATGCTTTAGGATAAGCACATGAAGATGTAAGCTAAAAATTAAAAGTGTAGACCCAAAGACATTGCCTTCATCAGTTTATTCTGTACTTTGCAATTCTGTGAAAGGACCATGGACATTTTGAACTCTTCAAGATTTTGTATGTTGTATATGTTTCAATTTTAAAAAGCAACAGAGAATTCAGGACTGGCGTGTTCTCTGGCTCGGGCTGTGTGACATTAACCCTTGTTCACTCTGTTCACTCTAACCACAGATGCTTCCCAGTTCTTATCAACTTTGAACATTTGTTCTTCCCAGATCCTACGATACAGGCTCTGCCACTGTTACATTATATCTCTGCTTTAGAAGCTCAAGTTGCTGTTCATAAGAACTTTCAGAATAACAGGGCCATAGTTTATTACCAGTTGGTAATATTAAAATTAAAGCTAGTTTCAAAATCAGTGCATAACATCTTCCGGGTCTCAGTCAAGTGACATCATCACCAGCCTAAGCCCTTCTATAAAAAAATAAAATAAAATAAATAAAAAACAAAACAAAAAACCCAATTTATCTTGATAATGCTTGCTTAACTGTAATAAGCCTCCTAATTTAATAGTTAATTGCTACTGTATATAGAACAAAAATTTTACTTTTCCTATATGGCTATTCCTGAGATTTCTATTCTGAACATCTCCCTTAAATTTTTTGGAAGTGCTATTTAGTGATTTCAAAGCCTCCATAGGTTCTTTTTTTAACTTTTCTATTCTTACTCATTATTTTTACTTGCTACCAGGCAAATCTAGTAATAGAAAACAATGCTAGTTAAAAATATAGTCTTGAAAGGCCTATCAAATCTTGTCTTCTGCGTGTATTTTGGGGGGTGGTGGGAGGGGTGCATAATAGCTCTCAGGTTTTTCTATTGCTGAAATAACACTGTAAATCTCTTCCTACCCTTAAATCTCCAGTATTTCTGGTCTTGCACACAACATAACTGTGAACTTATACGTCTTCTTAGGAATAACAGGCTTAGCTTGGAAAATAGGTACTTAGGAAATGCTCACCCATTTGAGTTCACACATTGGTATATTTTCCAGGCTACGCTAGGCAGACAGAGTGAATCAGAAAATTTCTTACCTCTTGAGGGACGTAAGACAATGCATATCACCACTAAAGCAAGCGCAGCCAAGGTGGTAACTCCAAAGACAGTTTTCAGCCATGTCTACATAGAATAAGGAAAATTAGGTTTGGGCTTAGTTCCTACTAAGAAATGGTAAGATTTTTGTCTAACCCTACATCCTACTTCTCCTTCCTCACAAAGCTTTTGATTGTGTTCCACTGATCTGGCGGTAATTGCTGGAGCCTTTCCAGTTCTGCTAAGACAAATGTTTCTACAGTATATTTAGAGCCATTTTCTAATCCTAACACACACCAGGAAGCGATACTCAACACACAAATCCCCAGCTTCTCTAAAGAATAGAAAACTGACAATACTCAGCCCAGCAGCCTCTGCTCTGTGGTCGTCCCCGAGACAGCACGTACTAAACTAACCTTCATTTTTCCAGATGTTTTTGAAAGTTAGCTGATTCTCACAGCACAGCGTGGGTCACCGCATCTGTGAAAACTGTTGAAAAGAAGCAAGTCTGTCTTCCAGTTGGAAGCTGAAGTCAGGACATGAGTCCAACCCTCCCCCGGCCCCCCTTTCCACGGACTTTTGACTACCGTGCCAAATTTCGAAAGATTTCTGTAAAATTAGAAACAGATTTTGGGGGCGTTCTTGGCCTTTAAGTGAACTATGAGTGGCTGGAGGGAGGCTCTATAGCTCTCTCATCCTTGTAAATTCTACAGCAACATCTGCTTAAGTTGTCATACAGAGGCTGTTTTATTTCACTTTTTTTTTTTTTTTTTTGGTCAGGTTTACATTTCATTTTCTCCTCAAAATCACTCGAGTCGCTGTGGTAACAATCTTTTCTACACTCCACCCGTTTGGAGCTGAAAGGAGGAATTTCCAATGAAGAAACTTTTTGATTGAGCATTAAACATGTCGAATTTTAGGGAAGGGAAGAACAGTGGAACCAAATCCGGCTTTGCGAGAGGTACACGGTGTGACTGCACACTTTTCTCCTGGGAGCCTATGAGGTACTGCAGGAAGAAATGTGTTTCGTTCAGCACAATTTCTTTGTCCATATAGCACCATATGCACTTTCAGTAAATACAGAAGTTTTAAAAATTCAACTGTCTAAACCCACGGCTGCTTTCCTTTAAAGAAATGAAGCGCCATCTGTTGAAATGTAGTATGGGTTAGGTGTGTTTGCACAGGCTAGAAAGATGGAAAGATCAGTGGGAATAATTTACCAGCAGACCTTTGGAAGAATGGAAATGGCTTTACAAGAGTGATATTTTTGCTTTGCTCTCAGAATATCTTCTGAGAAAGGAGAACATTTAGTAATTATAAAGACCTTAAAATAAATTTTAAAAAGGCAAGTGAAAAGAGAAGTCATGTGTACTTCATTTTGGCTAAGTCCACATATTCCAAAGTGATTGGTCATCTTGGCAGATCAGTAAAATGACTGATTGAATTCACACCACACACACACACACACACACACACACACACACCCCAAATCATTTTAGGACCTTCTCTTTGGTCCAGAGCAATTGACTAGGGCATATTCTTGGTTTCCATGTGGATACAGTTTTCATTGCTGGCTTTCTTCAGAAGTCTGTAATATCTTTTGCCTGACTATGCTAAGCTTTGTGCTGATCTTTCACAAATTGTTTATGAAAAATAATGAAGGAAGCATCACTGTTCTATGATGCTGTTTGCTTTAGTTGACTGGTCTGGCTGCCTAAGGAAACATTCCCCACCACAAACCAGCACAGTGGCTTGTGAACTTCCTCCCAGCCATTCTCCAGACAGCTGTCCCCGAATTCCAGCCCTAGGAAAGTTCTGGTGAGCAAAGTGAGTCATTCGTATGCATTGGCAGAGAAACATACTCATAGCCTACTGCAGCTCTGGGGTGAGTCCCACTCCCCTTATAGTTAGTGAGCTCTCACTCTACCAACTGAAGCAATCACCAGCAGTCATCATAGGTGTGCTATGCACTTACAGATGTCTCCATGTGCTCTGATTGTGAGGTCTCAATCCAAGAGAAAGCCATCAGCTGGGTCCCACGTGAACTGCTCTCAAGAGAATCTTCTCAAATTTGTTGCTTTCTTTGGAAGGTCTACATAGTACTTTCTCAGAAGTTCTGTCCCAGCTCACCAAACCCTTCAAAATCAACAAGTACTTTGTAGCAAGTAATTCCCAAGACCTCCTTTTCAGGACAGAAACTAAATGCAATAAATGAGTAAGGTATAATTAAAATGCATACTGCTAGCTTTAGCAATTAATCACTGTCACATGACTGGGATGGGTACCACTTAGGACTCTAGAGATGCATGGAAGATGTTCTCAGAGACTTGTCTGACAGGCTTTATGGAGAAATCGGGGCATCTTAAGCAACATTAAGTTGAAAGTGCTAGTATATGGGGACATTATAAGGATGAATAAACATTTTTTTGATTGTATTTTCTTTAGGAATCTGGTTGAATCTAACTGTAACATCTGGAACATTTTTAGCTGTTTGAACTGTTCTAAGGAGGATGTGATTGGATACAGAAATAAAGATGGTCTCTTGCATATAATTTTATAAGTTAGGAATGTATTTCTTGTAACAGCGTTACAAATGGGCTCCTGATCTAGCTTATATCTAAGCAAAGGTGTTCAAAATATGTGGATATTTAACCATTTCAATAGCTTTACCCCTTTTCTCAATCTTTTGGAGTAAAAATAAAAATACTTATAACAAGTTTTCTGTTCTTGTTTTTCCACTAAGGAGATAGATAGATGGATAGATAGATAGATAGAGATAGAGAGAGATAGATATTAATTACAGTTATTATCCAGTAAGTTCTTGTTGGAAGTTTTTGGAAGACAGACAAAGATAACCAAGAGAGGGTCTCTTTACTCAGTGAGCATGTTCTCCTACAAGCATGGAAGGAACATCTATTTTTTCTTCCTTTTTTGGAGCTTCTGCTGAGTATTTCAGCCTGGAGGTGTGTTTGGAAGAAACACCCTGATTTGCTGGAAATTTCTGTATGGTCCTGTGAGAGTGGACAGAAGAGACACATGATGCATTTGTATTTTCCTAAAAATAAATTGTACTTAAGAACTTTCCTCATAAATTAATCTGGGTATCTTGAAATTATACAGAAGCAGACAGAAAGACTGATCCATTAAAAGTTAAAGGCATGGTAGTATAATATAGGCTATGATCCACCACGTTCCAATAGGGGACATATAAGGCTTAGTTTGGAATGTGATCACATTCTGGTAAGCACGTTGGGTAGATGAACAATACTATAACTCAAGGCTATGAACAGATCTTGCTAGAGGTATTTAGTAACAAACAGTGGTTGTTGTTTATTTTTTATAATGAATCTGTGGTAGCTTGGAGCTGGAATGGCCTCTGGAGGCTCATATTGAAGAGTTGATCCCTAGCTGCTAGAACTGAGGGGGCTGTTGGACACTAGAATCTTCAGCTGAACTGAGGAGGCTAGGTCACTGGGAATGTTTCCTTGGAGGAGACATACGAGGACCCTGGCTCATTCCTGTCTCTTTTTGCTTCCCAGGGACCATAAGGTGAGCAAGTTTTCAGTGCCACCCTTTTGCCATAATGCTTTGCTCACCATAGACTGAGAAACAACAGAGTCAGCAGATCACAGGCTGAAACTGTGATTCAAAATAGACCTTTCCTGCTTGAAGCTACTCATGTCTGTTGATGGAAATGACGAAAGGTGATCAACACAGATAGGCATGTTTTCCCAGAAAACACAGTTAGTTACGATTCTTGAGAGGGTAGAGAAAAAGAATCATTCTAAGAACATAACTAAAGATCATACATTTTTTACCTAGGGGTGGGAATGAAAGGTTAATTTATTAAATAAAACAGTGATGTCCTTTTAATGACTCACTTATAAGAAGCGTAAAGCTACAGGTGAAGGTTACACTAGAAACCTGGACCATATATTCTTTCAATTATTAATTTGTTCCTAAAAAGCCCAAAAGCTATAAGACTGTTTCTTGGTAAGCATGCTTAGCAAGGATATCAAAGTCTCTCTGCTTCATCCACAATAGAAATGAACAAGCCTAAGAGCTCCTAAAAGCTTGAACATTTTTCCCTATTCTAAATACAGTACTTTCATATTTAATTTCATTTTACCTGTGTCCAAACTCATTTACTAATTAGAAAACAGAGTCCAGATTAAAAATTAGGTAAGTTGCCCAGGATTCAAACAGTACATAGATGGAAAAATTGCATTAATTCTTTATAGTAGCTACTTGGGTTGCTTCTTAAGTAATAATGATTAATCACATTAATGAATACCCTACTGCTTTTCTACTGAGACATTCCTAGGAAGTGTCATAGTATTATTAAAATTTAAACATATCCAACCTGCACATTTTAGGTCTGCATCATCACTGTGCATTTCTCAAAAGAACACAGTCTCACTCTACCAAGACCATGGCCACAGTATTAAGTTGGAAAGAGTTTTGTTAGAAATGGAGCCTAGTAATCAGAGAGATACATATTTTCTGGGGGCTATGTGATTTCTCTTCAAATATGTGAGTAATGTAAGGAATTTGTCAGATTATCATCAAAGAGATTTCTCAGATCCGAGCAAGAATGTGTCCTGACATCTTGAGAGCATATAATAGCTGTCACATAGTTATAGATCTGGAGGGGTGGTGTGATATGGTGTCGATGAGAGAGGGTATTGCTTAAACTACTTTAAAAATCTAATTTAATTTCTAAAATTATGAGTTTGATGTAAGGAAGAATATGAAGAAACATGTCTCTCAGATTATAATTGGTACCCACCACATTCATAAATGTCATAATTAAATGCCAGTGGTTCATTATCCTATCATGATTAGAATCGGTTCTGGAAGTGGAGTGAAGTTATCAATCAAATTAGAACAGATGAAAATAAACATATATTCTCTTCTATGCTATGGACACAAAGACTCAGAAGATAAACTAATGCTTCAATTAAATTTATGTTGTATTTTTTTTTCTGGTTTGGAACTCACAGTGTAGCCCAGGCTAGCCTCAAGCACCCAACCCTTCCAATTCTGCTTCCTGAAGGAACCAGAACTGTAGGAATTTACCATGACTGTCTTTA